TAGTTACTACTATAAAGCTCTATCTAGTATATATATAATAGCACCTAATACTACTTATACCGGTCGGAAGTAAGTAATACGTAATATACGTGCTCGCTCCCCGGTAGGTATTATTACTTAGGAGAGAACATATAAAGTAAATAAAACGGGGACTTAGCTATTTTATAAATATCTTATGCTTTCTCCTTACGGAGTATACGTATAATAGTAAAAGGGAATAATAGTATACTTAAGGAATATAAGAGGCGGAATAGCGATATAGTCTTATTTTCGAAAATAAGTAAAGTAAATATAAAGTATATAAAAAGGGACACCTACATTCTACCGAGATAAAACCCTTCTCTCTATAAATAGTAGCCGTATAATAATACTAGAGAAAGAGTATATACTCCGATTATTAATTTAGTTCTATAAAGGAAATAGAATATCTTATAAAAGGAAAAGGAAAGAGAGAAAGAAATAATAAGCTCTAGAGCTAGCTTTATACCTACTTCCGAAACTACTTTAGTACTATTATACTACCTAGAGAAGGAGATAGCCTCTACTATTTGCCTTTTCCCTTACTACGGCTCGCCTCCTTCGTACTTACCTTATAGAGGAATCTTATACCCTTATACTAAGGATCTGCCGTATTACCTACTATATTAGGGTTATTATTAGTATTCTCGCTCTATTTATACTTAAGGATGCGGTCGTTTAAGGTGTTTACAGAGTATAAGTTCTTCTTACTATTCTAGATATAATTTCTATAGGCACCCTCTATTATATGCTCCTATTTTATATATTCCTGCTATTATTAACTTTAAACATCTTTATATAGAAGGAAGGCGGAGAAAGAGTACTTTTTAAAGGCCTCTACCCTCTTTTCGCTCGTTCTTATTTAGGATCGGCCGGCCTTAGTAGGCGGTGTATTTCTAGTTAATAATATTACCGCTACGAATCTATTAGTAAGGATGCTCGGATCTTAATTAAAAGTAATTATACTAACCGGCTTTAGATAATTATCGAGTCTATAGTGTTCTTACGATCTCTAAGTATTACCTACTTCGCCGGGTTCTATATCTTCTTAATTTTCGGGGCGTAGCTACTCTTTATATCGATTATCTCCGCCTATTCCTTAGTAATATAGAGGCTACTAGTCTTAAGCTAGATTATACTAGTTAGTCTCGTCTAAGTAAGGCGATTATCTTTACTTATATTACCGTCGTTAACTATAAGGCATAGATTACTATTATTATCCGACGAGTAGTATATATCTAATAGGTCGACGTCGCCTATATCGAAGCGGCGAACTTCCTTCTCGGTTATTATACGGAGAGGTAGAATAAAGCAAAGAGGGGAGGATAGGTAGTAAGAGTACTAATTAGAGTGTTAAATATAGTAGTTATTAAAAGGACTAGGGGAGACGGTAGAAGGGTAGAGAGAAAAGTCTTATAGTATATAAATATTACTCTTACGCGTATAATAAGTTACTAGCAGAAGTATATGCATAATAGTAGTATTAAAGTAAGATATAGGTAACCGAAACCCGTAATATATTAGGACCGGTAACTAAGTAATAACGGGACGGTAATATTATATATACACAAGCAAATAACGACGTTTATTACATATAATTGTACGGGCAATTAAATCAATAAGCGAGGTGTAAAATTACTCCACTTAGTAGCGTTAAGCTATATTAGATCGCGTTGTTGCAGGGAAGTCGCTAAAAGTCCACCGTAGCAGGAGCCCCCGACCCACTCTCAAACTTGCCTAAAACAGAGTTCGTGTAGCCCTCCTTCCTCAGCACTTTCCTTCCTCAGTTTCCCGACTGTGAAAGGAATAATGGAGCGAAGATTGGTTGACAGCTGCCAGCCGAACGTTCTCGCTGCTAATGTCTTCTAAAACTCGCCTCATGGACGAACTTTGATAAGAATGATGATACGATCTCGACCGAACACTGGCAACTTGCAAGGTCGAAGCTCGTATATAAGCTCGTACAACTATTGAAGTTAACAGACTGTGCCTCACCATCTCAGTACTTAGTATACGGGCGCGTGCTATCGATAGATTGGACGACTCCGTGGGATGAGGATCCCCACTAGCCTTTGATCCTGCGGATGCCGATGCGCGACTTTATCCAAGATCAGGCGGGAATATGCAACCCCGAAAGTAGATTGTGTATCTTCCATGAGAGATCGAGTAGAGCTTCAACTTGGGGCTCATACGCCCGATCCCCAGTCCTCACACTAGGTAACGGTAGCTTCCAGCCCAAGAGCGGACCGGGTCAGAGGCACTTTCCTACTCAACATCGGCAGCTGCTATACAATTCATGTGTTGTGTTGATCCCACGCTGTACTTTGCTCATGTCGAATGCTTTCCCGCGGCACGTCGCCTCGTGAATCGAGATGAGGTATCTCCGAGAGACTTTTCCGACGATGAACATGTGACTTTCAATCGGATCCTGCATGACAGGAGATCGACCAGGAGCTGCACGGCCGATAGTAGGCACAGGCAATGGAACCATTGCTCTTTAGCGCTACTGTGCCTCCCTCAACGCATATCTGCTAATGACGGACGTGTAAGTCACCACGAGGTGTGTGTGTTGATGGGAGTCTACCGAGGAGAAAGATGATCGGAGGCAGCTTCTTCATGGGCATAAAAGCCATCGTTGTGTACTGTCTTGGTATGTCTCGCTTCACACAATCGAATTATTTATTCGCAACTTCCTAACGCGGCACATCCATCCCTATAACACTACAATGCATCGAACAACTTTTTTGCTCTCGACCTTGGTCTTCTTGGTGTCGTCGGTGTCTGCCTGGAACTTCTTGTCCGGTGCCTTGGGCTTTGGGGCCTACGTCTCAGCTGCACTGCAGGAGGACAGACTGCCTACAATGCGGTTCYCCATTACACCGAGTACAAAAACGCTCGGCCAAACGCACCAACGAAGACGAGACTCGATTGCATGGCAGATGTAATCGGTTTCCTTGTCAGGGGGGTGTGCGCTTTCATCGCCGGTCACAAAGCAGAGGAAGCGGCTCGCGCAGGAGAATTAGCAGTCACTGGAAATCAAGGACGATCGCTTGACCTTCTTGCAGCGCTCAATGAGGAGATCAACAGTCACCCAGACTTCATCGATAGCGAGCACCCAGTGACTGTCGAGGCCATGTCTCATTCGAACGTCGGTATCGCAAACGCTGTGGCCTATACTGTCAGCGTGGGTAACTTTACGGATGTGATCGAGCATCACGCTTCTAATACATTCGATGAGGAAGGGGAGCATTTCTTTGAGTTTGGGGTAGACTTTGACTGTAAGCCATCGAGATCGCAAAGGACAATCCCCGTAGCTTCACGCTGGGTTTTGAAGTATACAGCCATTTCGTTGTTCGTGTGTTGGTTGAAGAGAAGCTGAGTTATCGCGTAATGGCGGTGTCGAAGTGAATGCTAAGCTAGCTCGTGGTGACTTGAGAGGGACAAAGAAATTCATTCGTTGTTGGATGACCAAACGAGTCCATTCATGCATCGCTACGGTCGAAACCCTCCCTCTCCATACAGATTCACAACCTATAAGTGAAAACCATTATAACAAGACATATGTTCACACCACGAGGAAAGTTAAAACAAGAAAAGAGAACAAAAGCAAAGCTCAAGCGAATGAATGTATATCAAATTAATACTCCTACAAACACCGAACCTTGGGTAAATATAAATCAATTACTAAAACCCTTCATATCAGTCCATGCCAAACAAAACATCTTCAAGAAAAAAACAACTCACCCTCGGACCAGCACAGTTCCCACACCAAGCATCCGGCGTAGCGACAGTAGCGTCACAACCCCATGCATTTCCAGAACAGTAATATCCACTGGACATGATTAAAAGATATACAATAGAGATTGAAGAAGGCGAAGTTCGTTTCGGAATTTTTGTAGCAGGTGGTGATTGATATTCGTCGATGAAAAATCGTTCGAGGAAGAAGAGTCATTCCATGAGCGACAGAAGGGCGAAGATATACTCCTGCCCTCTCTTCCTATTATCGACATCATCAAGCAAGTCTTCATTGTTCATATATCCCAATAGGAAAAAAAAGACAACACAACAAAGAGTAAGGAAATCAAAGTGCGCGAATTTCGCCCAACGACGGCCAACCAACTTCAATTTCTTTGAAGCTGCCCACCAAGCAGGTGTCATTACCGGAAATGGCAAAATGAGTGTATCTTTGTCGTGGGAGTCTTTCCCGTTCAAAGCGCATGGTATTCGGATGTATAATTTCAACGTCAGTCTAGATAGACGAGTCGAGTCGAGTCGATCAAAGAGTCTCTGTTGATTGCTGATGTCGTCGGCGAAGATGGARGCTGCAGTAGCATCTTTGAGACGAGTTTCCTTGTTAGGAGTGAATGGGATACTTTCTCACAAAGGCAGCTTACAAGCGGTTCATCCCCTCCAGGCTGTCGAAATCACACTCTGCCATGTCTGTGGGGCGGCGGTCCTTGTCTCCAAGTGATGGTCCCTCCCGATCCATTGCAGTACCTCGTAATCGCACCTCGTCCCTCACGCGATGATGTCGTTCGTACCCATTCTCCATACACAGGAAGAGCAGTGACAGGCGAGGAATAGAATGACCGTCCATTCATACTACAACACGCTTCAGGTACCCAGAGTCCTGTTGTGGATATCATACCTCAACCCAAGTTCCTTCCCTTCAACACCAACATCAACGCCCGTCAGTATCTACATGTCCCACACATAACGCACCGACGCCACGCTGCCCTAATGCAGATGCACACCTGTCACCCTCCACGCCTCACATAAGAGCACACTCACGGGGCTCCGCACTTTGATTGTCGCCTTTCTTGGACTTCTTTTCCTGTTTCACAGCAGCTTTTTCCTTCTTCGTCATCTTCTGCTTGTCCTTGTCCCGAGTCTTTGACTCATCCTGTCCCGCCTCCTTTTCCACCTCCTCATTCGACAGACCGCTAGTCGGACGGCTGAGGTCTTCGGTCGGAGAATTCGAGGATGCAACGTGCTCCAGATGAGGACCGTCCGCGGAGCTCGACTGCCTTGGTGTCTCATCATGATCTGGTTTGTTCCCATCCAGCGTGACCTCCACCGGCGGAGGCGGAGGCGCCATCTCGTTGCGGCTTTTTTTCGGGGTGAGTTTACTCATGCTCAACGAGAACCGAGAATTGCCACCATCAGTGCTAGTCGGACGGCTCTTACTCGTGCTGGGTGTCTGTTTCGAGTTCCGGCTTGCGCGGCGTCCATTCGCCGTAAAAAGTCCACGCAAGCCTGTCGCAGTCTTTTCTTCCAAGAACGGCGGAGGCTTCTCATCCAACGGTGTGGATGGCACAGAATGTGTGGCGTCTGTGCGGAAACTGGCTACACTGCCGCCAAAGTCGGACGCCGTGGTGATGCTACGCCGTTGGTCATCGATTTGTGTGCTATTGCGTCCTCGTGACCCCTCCAGCGCCATGTTGATATCCAAGCTAGGTCTGCCCGACGGTGCCCAGTCCATGACGTCCGAAACAGATGTGTCACTTCTAGTTCGCTCCAGGGCGACTTCCGATCCTGGCGGCTCAAGGTTATACGGCTTCTCGGACGGTGTGTGATCAGACGCGGCTCTTGAGATGGCCTCTGCATAGCTCGGCAGACCATCGTTGGGGAAGCCATAGTCATCAATGGGCTGGATTTGATAGTACACGAGGTACGGGGTCTCTTCTCTGAGTGCTGTTTGTATATCAACATATGTTACTCGCTCTTGTGCCAGATCATCAAAGCGCATCCAGGGGTCTTCGGTCTCATCTTCTAGATCGAGGCCAGCAGAAGTCGCAGGAGGGGATGCCTGCCCACGACATAGGGTAATGTAGTGTCCCGACGTCACGGCGACACCGCGATGACAGACGACAGACTGAAGGATCAGCCGGAACTGGCCAACGAGCGGACCATTCTCCTCCATGTCTTCGTCTCCAACGAATTTGGGTATCGAAATCTCCAGAGGGATGTCTACATATGTCCCTCGGCGTTCGGCGGCGCCGGATAGAGTGTAAGAGTACCTTTTCAGGCAGATCCCCATCACTGGCCTCTGTCTTGAGAAATGTGCGGCAACTTGCGCGTCTGAGGTAGGCAGGTTCTCGGTATACCAGGGCAGCATTCTGAAGAATTGCCATGCAGGCATCTCCACTTCCACCTTTGTGGCCATTCTCTTCTTCTCCTCCAACGACTGTTCTCCGTCCGCATCCACGTCCTTGTCGGGATCAATCCCGATAATCTCAACCTTGCGCTGGGAAAAGATGCTAGCTCCCCGTTTCCGGCCAAGACCTGGACGCACCTTTCCCAACGGATCTCTGCTTTGCGACGCTACGCCTGTGGCCTCTAATGTGGAGCCCGGTGTCACGAGCGGAGTTGTCGCAACCTCGGCGACCTCGATGTGAATGCCAGATTCCTGCCCGTCTGCCTTCTCCGCGGGATAATTCAAGTCTGCATCCTTGGCTGCTGTCCCCAGCAATCTGAAGGCGTCTTCCGAGTGCCGCTTGATCTCGACCTGGTTGTTGAAATAGACCTCCAGACAATCTTCCAAGCGTATCTCTTCTTGTCCCTCTGCAGGCTCCTCCAAGATTGCCACTTCCAGCAAGCGTTCGTGCACGAACTTGTGATCATCCTGCGGCTCCTCCTTGCCGGTGTGGAACAGGTCCATCTTCAAAGTCATGAGTGGCAATCCCAACTTCTCCGTGATGAAAGCAAATGCTTCTGATGGATCCTGCTGTTGTATTCTCACCGCCTCCCGCCAGCCACATTCCGCCATCGCCTCTTGCAAGTGACGTGTCACATCATCCGTGATGAGCAGACCCTTCCGAAGCATGTTGACCCACAATCTCAACATCCCGGCCAGCCGCCTCCGGGGTATGTCTTCGTAGTTGTCGTAAAGCATGGCCTCGTAACTATCGAGGCGTGCGAACATGGCGAACAGGAGGGCGTCCAGATAGCAACTCACGTTGTTGCGATTCTTGGCTCCCAGTAGCTTGCAACCGGGCACATAGGGATGTACAATGCCCTCGTATGTCTCTTGCAGGAGCATGAGCAAGCGGAATGCAGCCTCTCCGTCTCTGTCGGTGTGTCGAAGGGCATATCGAGCATTGGYCTCAACCATGGTGTTGACGCCATAGACGCGTAACCTTTCGAGGAGGCCTTGAACATTGCGGTCCTCTTCCTTTGTCTTGGGAGTATCTTCGCATGCGAATACGCCGCCGAAGTGGTCGGGTCGCGCTATCGGTTTCTTCTCGATCTTATCCTTGCTCTGGAAGAATGCTTGTCAGTGATGAGACTATATTGCGTTGTTCAATGCTTGCGTGGTTGAGAGTGAGTAGAATGCTTGCAATGCCGTGCTCCTTCAACAGCTCTTGTGGCGAGAGGGCAGGCGTGCTATGCCTATGCAAGCGCCTCCTTGTGCTTGACCATGATGGGCGAGCTTTGAAGGAGGAGTCTCCCGTGCCGTCCACGGCTGCATGGAGAAGCGGGCGCAATTGTACATTCTCCTCGGCTTCACCCGGAGTCGTCTCCGAAACGACGTGACAGTAGCAGAGKCGCGAACGGAGCAAGAATATCGGAATGGATGGCATGCTCGGACGTCATAGCAATGGGTGGATGTAAGGTAGGTACATGTAGGGGTGGAATTGGATCAGTTACCTCACTTACCTTTGTAGGGGAGGAATTCCTAGGATGGTGCTTCTTGTCTCGTCGACTGAACGCTCGAGCGAAAGCGCTCATGCTGTTCCCATGCGTGGGCAGTCGCGACATTCAAGCACCGACCGCACTACCTTGGTCGTGCTTGATCGGCCGGGTTGTTGCGAGAACCTTTCGAGAGGCCGGTGGGGCGGTCGGGTACGGTAAGGTAGGGTAGGGGGGTCGTCGAGGGGCTGAACAATATACCTAACGTGAATGATAGGTAATGTTCGTGAGTGGGGAGCAACACAGGTGTCCTTTTTCGGAAATGTTCTGGTGGCACGGTCGGTCTTGCCAACGTCGCTGTCAGGCGCCCGATTAGCAGAGCAGGCAACACCGGACAGCAGCGGCTGGTCTGCGATGATGTTCTCCGCCATGGCTGGTGGGAAGGACAACTAAGAACTACTTTACCTTACCTTATGCGCCGGAGCCAGACAGCTCGCCATCAAATTGGCTGACGGACGAACGTGGGGTAAGGGCTAGCAATGTTCCCGACGTTGTCCCTTTCCTGCATCATTCTCATCTGCATGCCCATCATGGGTTCATCGCAGACGGCCAGCGGGTTGAAGGAGCATGAAGCACAGCAAAAGGCCGGGCTGAAGTCACCCAAGACCAAGAGTCATGTCAACGTGATCATCCGGTGGCACATCTCACTCCGATGCGACAAAGACCATCTGATGACAGACGGGAGGATGATCTCTCCGCCCCGCTCTCCAAAGCAACATGAAGAACAAAGGTGACAGGACTGTTCTCAAGACACATGGAAGATGACAAATGGTCGAATGGTCCTCCTGATCTGCCGCACCGCTCGCGCGTCGGACTCGATTCAGAGTTTATGCTCAAGCTCGGCAGAGCGAGCAAGGGCCGATGAAAGTGAAGCTTGCCGCCTTGGAGATGCTATATCCCTCTAGGTTTTGCATAGTTAATGCATACTTCGTCACCACCTGCTCCAGAGCTACGGGAATCCGGCATCTACTCTACCACGTCGCGGTGATCTCTATAGCCGCGGAAACCCGGCAAGTCTCTACTCTGTTCGTCTCCTCTCTGTGTATAAGTTTTGCTCTCCTCTCTCTCTCAAACCCAACAATCTCATAWCACGACTTGTCCATTTCACCTACTATAACCAACAGAGACACATACCACATCTTCAAGAACTGTCCCATCAAGCCAACCAACATGGACTCGCATGAACGGAGAACCTTTCAAGATCCCACAGGACCATACCAACTCCCAAACGAGTTCGTCCATTCCGCTTCTCATCCCAAAACCTCACTAACAACACGCCCATCAGTGCCCCAGAACATGACCGCCTAGACGCCCAGTCAGCCTCCATAATAGCCCTGATGAACAACAAGCCCATCCACGCTCCCCTCTCCTCTCCCAAGAAGATCCTAGACATAGGCTGCGGAACAGGCGCAATGACCGTGATTCTCGCAAAGCAATTTCCCCAAGCCCAAGTCATCGGCATAGACATTGCTCCCGTACCCGCAGACAGACACGGCCAGACGCCTTCCAACGTGACCTACATCCAAGGAGACATCCGCCAACTCATCAACTCTCAAGATCCAAACTTTCAAGCCGCCTCCTTCGACTTCATCTTCGAACGACTATTAATCCTCGCCCTCACCGACTGGCCAGGCCACATTTCCGCCATCTCCAGTCTCTTGAAGCCGAACGGCTGGCTAGAGTGCCAAGAATTCGAGTGGACAATCTACGCAGCTTCGGGAGAGCGACCTATGGAATCTATGGAAGCTTACGCAGCAGTTGTAGCGGACTCCGAAAAGATTGGCCTGAACGTCAACATTGGAAGAGAGTTGCCTGAAATTTTCCGCTCAGGTGGTGGGTTCGGTGAGGTAAAGCATGAGATTTACGAGTGTGCTCCTCATGAACGTGTCGATAGGCCGGAACTCATCGGGTTGGAGAGGCAGATTCCTGATCTGTGGAGGTTCATGATCGGGAAGATTTGTAGCGGGAAACGAAGCGAGGAGGATATCGCCAAGTATCAAAGGGAGTTTAATGAGATGTGGACGTCGAAGCTTGATGGGACGGAAAGGCACAGAATGCACGTGGTGATTGGGCAGAAGAAGTGAAGTCGAGGAGGAGAAGCTCATTAAACAACATTATTGCTACGATTGTTATGTTATGTTGGAGTCGAGGAGTAGAACCTCATTAAACATTACTACTACGTTCATTACATGATGTGCTCATCTCATGCATCTCATCCCAATCATCCCAACATTTCGTCTTCCAAAATCCCATCTCATCTTCATCCCCATACTCAACAATACAACATCAAGCACCACCCCTCCCCTGATCCCCAATCTTCCCCCTCAAACCCCTCCTCTCCCTCCTCCTCAAATCCACAGCCCTAGCCCCAAAAGCCATCTGAATCAACAACAAAGCCCCCGCAGCACCCCCAAGAACCAACCTCGCCATCCAATAATTACTCGACCAAAGTCCATCCGTATAAGGAGCATAACGATAAAAATTCGGACAAGCATCACCAGGTTCATCGAATTCGCAAATACTCCAGAAAGTCAACATGAAGACCCAGATTGTGAAGCCTATGATACCCCAGATTATGGATGCGAGGGGGAAGAGCAGGTTGCGTTTGTAGAGGAGGAAATCGATGAGTGGGGCTAGCGTTGTGGCCATGGGGACTCCGCAGGCGTAGAAGTATAGTTTTCTGTAGTTATATTGTTTAGCATACGGGTTGCTTTCTTCATTGATCACTGTGTAAGGGAGTACTCACGCGTTCGAGGGTCCTTCTTCGTACAGCGGATCCAGTTTACGGTTTGCAGTCCTTACTGTGAACTCGATCCCTAATGCCCAAGCTGCCAGCGAGATGACGAACAATGCCGGGAGGATCCATTTGATCCAGGCTGAAGTGCCTGGCCATTTCGTAGAGAACATTTTGTATTATTCGGTCGAAAAGTGCTTCTAAATTTGAAACAGAGGTTGGAAGAGACGACGACCTACCTTTAAAGACAAAGGATACCGCCAAGCATCCCGAATCCTTCAACACTCCGCCTTCCTGGGCATCGTCACAAAACGCAGATCGCACATTCCAATTGGTGTGGAAGTCGCACAAAGAAAAGGCGATTGGTTCGCCTGTTGTAAATAGCATCTGGACTCTGCAGTGTGGTCTCCAAAGTACCTGGTAGTTGACTTCGTTCCTCCTTCGTAGCAATCCTTCACTTCGGCTGCGACTTAGGGTTATCGATGAATCTGAGTGGCTTCGGCGAGTTCAGGCAACAGTCAAACACTGTTCCAACTGTGCATTCACAGCGAAGCTGCTGGCTAGTGGTTGTCTTTTTTGATACATGTCTGTACAGCAGAAATACACGAGGCGAAGCTTCCTCCATCAGTTGACATACTTTCCGTAGAAAGGAATTCCAATCGAGCTCAACAGCATTCTCGCATCACGGTCCGTGGTCGCAGTGGTGTGTACCATGACGTGGAATCCAGGAATCATCTTGGGTGGGTACCTGAAGAACCCGTTAGCATGAACATCCACCATCGTGCAATCGGACAGACTTGCATGTCATAGTTGACCTCAATCTCTGGAAATAGAGAAGTCTCCTCGGCCTTGAATCCAAAGGCCAAGTTTCCACTCGAATCACCGGTAGAGCCTTTGACACCCCTCCAGTCCTTGATCTTTGGCAGCACGACGTCCACCACTTTACTCAAGAAATGGTGCATAGTCTCTCCTTGGAGCTCGCACGTCACAGACAACCACTGACCCTGTCGTACGCCAAAACCCGCCACGCTCTTTCTCGTCTGATGCGCAGTAGCACGCACACCAGTGATGGCCTGCAGAACCATACCAGCGACATGTAAATGGGAAGAATCTTCGATCGCGCCCTTGACAAACGAGTGGACCGTGATCTTGTCCAATCTGGGTACATTGCGGAACGTAATGGGTTTACGAAGCAGCCTGAGCACCTCTCCACCACGCGGACCGCGTAGGGGACGATTCTTGTAGTAGGGGTTGTCTCCCACCCATTCTCGTAGACGCGCACTCTTGATTGGTGCGCGATAGCCTGGTGGGTGGTGTACGTATGCCATGGTCATGAGATCGGGCGCAAATGTTGATTCGTAGGTTTGCTCCAGACGGGGAGCGGAAAAGGGACCAGGAACGAACTCTCGGGATGATGGATCGGACGGAGGAGGCGGCTGGTGAGGGTGGAGAGGTCCTCGGTAGTACTTTGGAGGGCGGAACGAGTATCTGAGTCGTCGGTCAGTGCATGTCCTTTGTTGGGGAGTTGGGATGCGCCATACCTGCTCTTGGGCAGCTGCCTCTGTCGTTTGCGTGCATTTGCAGCGGGATCGTATTGCCCGGCACGCGAGCTTGCACCGTCGGTGGAGATGGTCTCAAAGGATGATGTTTCCAGCTGGGCCGTCTCCTGGTTGTTGGTGTTGGCATCCGWGGACGCGTAGCGACGACATGGTTGCGTCCAGATTTTGTTCAATGGCTGCTCGGAAAGCCGGAGGCGACGAATCACCGCGTTGGTGACCTCTTGCAATGCCATTGCGATGATGGTGATGAACAGATGGTGTCGATGGGCTTGTGGAAAGTTGAACCTCCGATGCAACTCCGCCATTTGCCAAGCAATCTACTCCGTACGTACAGTCGACTGGCAACATCAACCTTCACGCCGAAGCGTCTCTGTTGTTTCTCAATCCATCTTTCGTCCTACGGCAGAGTCTAACAGCTTTGGCATCTTTGGCATCTCTGAAGCGAGCGCTGCTACAACAAGGTATATGGATGTTGATGGAGGCTGTTCTACGATTCCACGGCAGCATTCGTCGTTTCGCGGCCTTTGACATCCTTCCCATTCTGCAGCAGTTGACAATGACAATTCCACGACTTCGTTCTCAATCCAGTCTCCATCCACCCAACAGACATTTAAATTCCTTCATACCCATACAAACCACAGTCCATCAAGTATGCGCCCACTAAACACCCTCAAAAACGACAACGACGCCCTATCTCCTACCCAAACCCTGACCCTATTTCGCCGCCAGGTATATTTCCCCCACACCATAATACTTCCTATAGCAAAACAACACAACCAACCAACCAGCCATACATGAATCGAACAACAAGCCCCACACACCCCTCCCCCCTCAACATCATGACACAGAGCAATTGCATCGAATACGACAAAGACCTGTAAGCATAATAATCGCTAAGATACTTTTTTTCTTCCTCAACCCCCTCGACAACCCAAAAAGCAAGTTACCTAGTTATATAGCCCCATGTTCGCTGGGAAGAGCTCGCAGCTTCCGCGTCGACCTTGACCTTGCAGCTGYAATACTGTAATACCAAGGTCATGACAGACCACCTACACGTCGTTGTTGGGGAGCTGCATAGTCCCCACACTCGATTGACTTGGCTACCACACTCGACTTACCACAGTCTCTTTCACATTGAATCATGCATTTGACCAAACAAGACGGGAGACTTCTTCACCACACTCGACTTATTCACATTGAATCATGCATTCGATCAAACAACAGCATGAATTGAACAACTCCTCCCATTCGCCGCGCTATGTAGTCGTGCATGCACTCGTGAAAAAAGGCATTTTCCGTTTTCCCTGAAAAAGGCATTTCTTTCCCCCCCCCGCGGAATGTAAACGATGAGATGTTTTCAAGTCATACAATTCGTATCGGCGCTCCCTCTGCGGCGCATCTCGCTCCATGAAGCTATTTAAATCCCTCCAAAACCATGCAAGTGAACTGAAGCAACCATTCACAACTCGTGAAAGTCATGTTTGTCAAGCCGATCACTGGTAGTTACCACCAGTCGTGACCATGTGATGCAGCGGGCTCATTTCAGAGTGCGTCAATGCGCGCATGTCGACGTGAGTTGGCATGGCAGGAAGCTCAGTTCCCGTGGTCATTGCAACGGCGTGGTAAGAAGAATCGTCAAGATCGTTGCCGGCATCGACTCCATTCATGGCATCACGCTCCTCCTCCATTTCCTCCTCGGAAGGTGCGGATCCGTCGAGAGATGTCTCGTGTGTGCGACGATGCTGTGCAAGATTGTCCGATCTTGAAAAGGCCTTGTTGCAGAGAGTGCACAAATATGGTCGTTCCTGCGTGTGTGTTCGTACGTGGCGCTTCAAGTGTTCTAACCTCTTGAAGAGACGGCCACACATGGGAATCGGGCAAGAGTGGCTCTTTTGAGGATATGGGCTCATTTCACTGACGGTCGCGCTGCGTGCGCGACGGAACACGCCATTGGCGGTGCGTTGCACGGCGTGGTGCTGGGGCTGGAGAGAGTTGCGGTAATCCTGGCTTGGGCTTACGCTATACTGTGCAAAGTCCTCGGTCTGAACTTGATTCATTTGCATCGAGTGTCGTTGTTGAGACTGGGACTCATCTGTTGATCCTTCACCGGTGTGGTGCTGTGGCGTGCTGTGTCGTGACAGCTCCATCAGTTCTTTGTGCTCCCCCATCATCTGTCCTGGGTGCTGATTGTTCGTGTACATGCTTGCGGGAGAGTCGTTGTAGGAGACTTCCTGTCCTTCTGGGATGGTCTGTGGTGCCACAGATGCGGACACTGATCGTCGGAGGTCGCTTGGTCGGTGGGAGGCGTGCGTCTGTGTCTGTGATTGAAGCGCACTGCCGGCAGAACTGACGGCTGGTGACCCGCTACCTGTCAAGGATGATCRGCGTCGTCGTTGCTTGTAGGTAGGCGAGCCCTCCAATACGGAGTAGACTTGCTGCGGCTGTTGTTGTTGCTGCTGATAGTTGCGGTTCATGGACTGGTATTGATTGGCTTGCAGATTCGAAGGCGCGGAGATGAGCGGGTTGTAAGACTGCTGCATGCGGACATCTGGCATGGCGGCGTAAAGGCCAGTATCCTCAGTCGCGATGTAAGTCGGTTCCGAGGACATGCCCATTGAATTCTGAGGTGGCGTCAGGGGTTCGAATGACAGTCCGCGCTGGCTGTAGTCCTCGAAATGGGACGAGACGAAAGAAGGTGCTGGCGAGTACTCCATGTATGCGGGCATTGATGAGTGGCGTGTTCCTGCCTGTGAGATGGGAAGGCCATTACGATCAAAGACCGGACCAAGTGACTGCTCACGGGTTTTCTGAATTTGGGAAGGCATCGGAGGCATGGCCATCTGAGAGTAAGTTGGCACATGGGTCATTGTGTCATCATGCATGGCTGGCATACTGTGTTGAGGCGGCATGCTGTGGTGTGGTTGCATGTTGTGCTGAGGAGGCATGCTGTGATGAGACTGCATGCCGTGGTGAGACATTGACTGCGGCATTGAGGTTGGTGCCATGTGTTGCGGGATCATGGAAGGTGGAGGCATGGAATCCATTCCCCGCGCGACGGGCGAGGTCGAATGCGAAGGAGGCATTGACGGAGGCTGGCCGTTGAACGTGGACTGGTTGTTTTGCTGGGCCTTGGTGAGTTGCTCAAAAAGAGACTGTGAAGAGTCGAATTCAAAGGAAAGCGCTGGCTCGCTGACGGCAACGGTGGTGGCCTCCTGACCCATCTTCTCCCGCTTGAGGTCGCGCTCCAGAGCGTCCAAAAAGAGGCGGTCGTGAGGCACGCTGTACCAGTAAAAGACCTTTTGCTTCTTCTGCGTTCGAATGCAGTTGTTCTTGTAGAGAAAGTCCAGGAACGGGCTCTTGGGCTCCTCGAGCGAAGCATCCGTGCCGGATTTGAGATTGCGGAGATCGGAAAAGATACCCTCTTCGAATTTCTTCGAGTTCTTCACAGGACGACCAAACGCCTGGAATCGGAAGGAGAGACATCGGACAATGTCGGTTCCGGAGATGTGGAAAAGGTTGTTCCTGGTGGATGTTAGTATGGGAGTATGCGAGGTGGAGGAAGCTGCAGCCGCACCATAGCACGCATGACACGTATTCGCCCGTTGGGAGGAGAAATCGCCGGCAGTACTGCTCCTGTCTCCAATCTACGGGAGCGGATATGAGGAAGTACTTGACTGGGGAGGAGTTAGCCAACGATTATGCGCTTCCATCACGCCGAAGCGGTGTGCGCGTACGATTGTCCACCTGCTGCAGAGCCACGACCGAATCCTGCGGCAGACTCTGCTGCGCATCTTGATCCAGCAAAAAGGTCTCGGGCTGCACCGAGCGCGATTGCGGCGGAGGCATGGACGGTGCGGGGTGGGTGGAAAACATGGTGTCGCAGGTCATCCACAGCGCGTCGCGGTGTAGGGCGCTCAGATCAAGCTCAGCGCACGGAGTCGATCCGGAGCGAGGAGAGGCGAGTTTCGAATGGGATCGGCTGCTGGGGATTGGTGGCTCGCCGGGGAGGATACGCTCGAGGCAGTGACAACCAGGTCGAATGCGAGGACGATGAAGCGCGCGGGCGGACGATGCGAGGCGAGGCGAGGGGCCAGAAGTGAAGGTGGAGAACGAGCGGCAGCTCAGTTCGGCGGAGAGACGGAGAGGGAGAGAGGGAGAGAGAGGACCAGCCTCTAGGCGCAAAGACAGAGATGGTATGGGGAGTGTGGTGTGAGACGAGCTGCGGTCATAAGCCCTCTAAAGGCCTGGCGAAAGAAGATGTGAAGCTGTATGAATTGCTGAAACGCGGCGGGAGAGCTGGGCGCTTGAAACACACTAATACTTGTGCGGATTCTCGGGCAAAACCTTGCTCACGGGAAGAGCCCAGGTCCCTGACTGGTTGGCCATTGCGAGCGCAGGGATTTCTTCCAGACGGAGCACACGGGCCTGATCGCTCCCCTCGACCCTTGACTCGGGCGGTTAGCCGCTGCGAGCCTCGCCCGTTCCTGTTTGGACGTCGTCGTGCCCGCTGTCCTTCCTGTACCTAAGTCTAAGTGTAAGGCAAGGTAGAGTAGGTACCTTACAGTGCCACTCCACTCCACTCCACCACCGTCGACTGCACATCTCCACTCTGCAATCTTGCATGGATGCGTGGTCGGCGGCCTGCAAGCCCCGACGGATGGACGGACGGCGATGCGCCCACGCGACTCCGGCATGCCTTTTTTTGTTCGAAATTCGATATCATGCATGGATGCATTCGCTGGCCCACTCGGCCATTTTCGATCAATTCTGACTTTCCCCCCAAGCAAACATGCTTTCAACCCACGCCATCACGCAGAGTCAGTGGCATGCGTGCCGACTCGCCGCACAACCCTTCCTCATCGACACCGGGTGGCTGCTGCGCCCTGCGTCCCGACCAGGAACCGCTGACTTGCTCGTCGGCCACCAAATAATCCTGTCTTCCCGCCAGTCTTACCACTTGCAGCGTCGAGACGCGCACCCGATCCGCGTGCAAGTAAGTTACCGGGTACTGAACTGGATTAATCATTGTCCTCGTTCAATAATCTTGGCCGACTACCTTAGCGAACCGATGCGGGCCCTCTCCAGCGTCACGTAGCCGGCGTGGCACAGATCGCGTGGCGTTGACAACCGCACCCTCTGCGCCATGTCCTGTACTACCTGATCCCCAGCCCGCCCAGGCCGCTGCACTGTCATAGGCGCTTCCCGTTTGCTCACGGCGCTCAGCTGGGAAATTGAGATATCCACCCTGATCTAGAATGCGTTGCGCGCGTCCGGTGTGCTACGGAATCTCACGGAAGTGTTCACGTCGTCGACAACGCTCATCATCAGATCGACAATCGCCTGTCTAGCGATCGCTGCCCCTCGTGGCTGAACTTTCCGCTGATCTTATGCCCGGAAATATACCTCACCAGCACCAGCGTCCGGTGCTGAAGCCTGAGGCGACYGTTTCACCCTACAAAACATTCCATCACATCATTCCATTCTCCACGCCGAACAAGCATCAACGCTAATCCCACATGTTAGCTGCATACCATATCATCAGTGGCTTGGCTCTGGGACCGGAGATCCTGTGGTCGAAAATAGGCAACGTCCGATTTCCATTTTTAATCTTCTATAGGATGAATGCTCGCAGAGTCATGCGCACTCACTCCATCATCGTTTGTATCGTTTGCATCGTTTGCATCGATTACCCCCACACCCACCCGTCGTATTGCCAATGGTGTTCAATCTAAAAAATCTACGCCAACATATTCCCGGCATGGCCTACTACGGAATGGAATATTCGCGCAACCACTCGGACCTGAGTCAATCTCTCCATCTCATCCTGGCCTGTCCTTGTCTTTGAAGATGGATCGATGATGGTTTGTCCGGCCTAACCTAGATCTGAAAAGACCTGTAATAACGGGGAACAATCTGACCGTGCGCCCCACCGGACCTCGCGATCGATGCACTACTCTCCCAAAGCATCGATCTGCTCGCTTCTCTCGAGATATGTGTTACACACACTACTACACTTGTGGAGTAACATGAAACGCTGCGCGCGGAGGAGAACAATTCTCCCAGGCTTCACAGATACGGTATGCACTGCTTTCTGCACAACCAACGCTCTATCCAACCACTTCCAAAAGTTTAAACACGGAACGAATACATTGGTCAATGACTTCTCCACAAACAACTCGGTGGTCAAGTCTGGACCGTGGCCACATGTCAGCCAACCAACAGCCACAAAGTCGTAATGGTCGTCGTGTCCGACGTCGTCCGCGCTGCTGGGAAGAGCTTTCAGCTCGATCAGTGCAATCTTGACATTGACCCACCCAAGCAGTAACTTACAGTAGTTGCACGGCCCGGGCGAGGCCATTGGTAACCGGGCCGAACGACAAGCATTCTACACCAACATCGTTCGTTTCAAGTTGAAAGGGAAGTATCCCGAACCCTTGCAATCAATGCCATGGTTGGAAGAGCAACGATACTCCGTACCATGCCCTCGGATTTCGCGATCCCCATCTCGACACCGACGGGAATCTGCCAAGATGATCAAAGAGATGTAGGCTGCAGTTCCTCGCATGCACATCTCACCAATACAGCGAGCTGCGATTTCCTCTTTCGAACAATCTTCGGAAGCTCGTGTAATCAACCCATCCTAGTACAGCATCAACCATCCACGAGGTTGGATCCACGCCCGACTCCACAATAAAAAGGAACCTTCCGCCTTGTCTGAAGAAGTGTGGCTGAGTCCGCCAGCATCCCCATGAGTCCACTCCCCTTGACAATCGAGATAATCACATTGTTGACATGGATGACCCTCCCAACGACTTCTACTATTCCTCTCATGCTCCACGTTTCGCTTGCGCCATGCTGTCGATTGTCAAGGCGTCGAATGATCTGGGCGAAACTTCCACCCAACCCATCTACCTTTCCGCCCCACGAGTCGGTAATAAAATGAGTGGATCCTCGCTCGTGAATTTCCCGAGAAGAAACCTGTACGATGCAAAGCCCACCCTTTCCTATACTTTCCAATATGTGTATTATCGTACACGTGGCAATGCAATCYACAGTAAATTGGAAATGAAGCAGGGAATCTCATCATCCATCATCATCGCTTATGCTCGTTCACAACCATGTGCTATAGACAAGTACAGGGTGTGATGGAGACCCAGTTCGAAAAGACGAAGCAGCCGGCTACTCAGCCCAGAAAGAACATCTACCGATCTTGCGGTATCAAACTTGAACTGATGTCTTTGTTTGAATTCATCGTCGATCTTCCAAGCAGCATAAAACAAGCATCAAGACTCCAAAGAACCAGTTCCACGCCCCCTCGAAACCAGGACAGCTCACCTGAAGCAAGCTAGGTAATCCGCAACATCACGTGCGCAAGACTTTTTACATTGAGTCTGACTTTTTCGCAAGGAAATTATCGTCGATGGGCTGAAACCAGAATCCCATGTACAAGCATAAGGATTGCGAGAACCGGTTTTAGATGCCTACTCTGCGACGAACGGCATCAAAGTCCACCGCCGCGACTCCGAGGGAACCAGGAGGAGAGTAATGTAGCAGGCGATCCCGCGATGACGTGCATTTTATGCGGACTGTGCAGGAGTTGAGACCGCATGCATGGTGGTGGTGTTGTGGAGGGATGTATCATGTTCCTCTTGCGCTGATATACGCCCGGCGCGGTATATTCGATTCTCAATGTCTCGCTTACCCGCATGATACTGTAAGGCTATTCGGCAAGGAGATGGTGATCGTCTGCCGTGGTGAGGATTGCGCATTTGGCATGCTGTGATGTATTGCCACTTCTTTTTTTAAATGCTGCTTGATTGTGATCAGCAAAGATGAGTATTGCGTATTGTATACTCCTACAATCTTCTCCGCAATGCATGATGACGATGCGTCGATCTCGCCTCGTCATTTACGCATTGGTTCACAATGTACTCTGAAGCAGCCCAATCTATCTGATAATCACAGCCCGAAAGCAAACCCGACGCCTTGAACCGGTTCTGCGGTTTCGGGCGGTGCTTTCAGGGTATGGTCCGAGTGCGTTGGAGATATCCAGCGAGCAAACCCAAGTACTGCCAGTGCCTTATCCAGGTCACTGTTGGCGGGGGAGCTGGGGAGGCGGGGTGGATGAATTGTCGTGGAATCTTTGTTTCAGTCATGTTGCAACACCGTTTGCTGGCGAGCACTCCGAGCATTGGTACTTGTAGCAGGTGTTGAAAAGAACGATCTGTGATCTGTTGATGCTGGAGTGTTGAATTGAAGCTTGTTGATGTGTTACATGTGTTTGAGGATTGGGGGATGGTTTCGAATCGGGTAGTGATGATCTTGACCCTTCTGTGCCTGACTGAGGTACTCRGGCAGAGCAGCACCGAACCAAAACATGGTCATACAGAAAAAAGGCCATACTTGGCTGAGAGACTCACTATTGCACTCCGATACAGCTGGTGAGGAGGCACGGGGATGTGCAACCATATTGATGAGTGGACTGCATTTCTCCAACACCATGGCGATGGCGATCAAGGGGAAGGAGATTGTTGTGCAGTTTCTTCTCCTTGGACCTGAATATGTCATTACCGGCGACGAAGAACGTGTGTCGATGAAAGAAGTTCCAAGAAGTTGTTGAGAAGAGACTGAACGTTGTAGTCGCTTCCGGCCGAACCGAACTCCGAATCCCGTCCTCTCATCCGCCGCCGTCTTCGCAAACTCCACTTCCTCTCGGATAGAACTACGAGCAACATGATGAAAGAATGCTGACAGGCGACCTTGCGCATCACCCGACGCTCCCGTGATAGTTAGGTTGCATCCCACTTCAGCATGGAGACGCCTCCCAGCACCAGCACCAAGGGGCCATCTCGCCGGCCCCATACGAAAACACGTACGTGGCGCGTGGGACCAMACCCTACCCTCCCCTCCCCATATTATCCATTCATTCACTCACTGACCATGTTTATGCATGCCTGCAGGCCTGGGCTGTAACACATGCAAGGCGCGAAAAGTAAGATGTGACCAGATCAAGCCCGTGTGTCAAAACTGCACGCGCGGCAATCGAACATGTGTCTACGCTTCAGTAAGCCAAGCGTCCAGCCCATCAACTTCCCTCTCCGTCACCCCAGCAGAGGCGCAGGATTTGGAGTTGATGCACTATTACACCATCTCAAGCCACCAAATACTCTCCCGACTTCCCGAGCACTACTGGATCTGGCAGGTGCAGGTTCCACGCATGGCATTCTCTCACAAATACCTCCTCCACGGCCTCCTAGCCCTGACTGCCATGCATCGCTGTTCCGGCGCCGATGAATCCCAAATCCCCAATTTGGTCGCCTTGGCCCGATATCACCAACAACACGCCCTGGTATTGTACATTCCCCTCTTGCAACAAATCGATCCCGACAACTGCCATGCCTTGTTCGCCTTTTCCATCGTCCTCACCCTCCTCTCGTTTGGCATGCTAAAGTCCGACGACCACAATCCGCAGTCCCTCATCAACGGCTTCACGGATGTTTGTGATTCCCAGTTTGGCGCAGCGGCAGTGGCCACCCAAGCGGCAGAATGGCTGCGACATGGACCACTGGGACCGACCGTCGTGCCGATTGTGCAGCCCAAATCCGACCTTTCAGATGTTGATCCCAGCGTGAGGGGCGTGCTGGAGCCTCTTCTACAATGCGCACAGAGTGTTTGCGAAGAAGCCCGAGCCCATCAGAGTGCCGACGAGGTGGCGTCGAGACATGCAGCGTACATGACCTCCATCATGGCACTGGCGAGCATCCAGCAAGAGGAATCCGCCGCAGAAATCGCCATGATAACGGCCTGGCCTGTGATGACCACGCCGTCCTACGTCAAACTGTTAAAGGAGAGAGATCAACTTGCCCTTGTGATTTTGGGGAATTATGGTGCAGTTTTGCATATATGCGGCGGACAGTGGATCATCGAAGGATTGGGTCGGCGATTGACGGAAGCTGTCTATGCAGAGGTCGATCCGGGTTGGCATCCACTTTTGGCGTGGGCGAGAAGCAGCAATTATGCATCACATTGCCCCACTCCTGTCCCTGCTTCCGCTCCTACTCCCACTCCTCACGAGATGGCGTCCGAGAATATCACTTGAGGCAAGAGTGATGTTGAAGATGGAAAGGAAAGCCTTTTCAAACGATCCTGGAGCCAGCCGATCTCGCGCAGGCAAGTTTGGACCTGGATGTGGATCTGCTTCATCCGGTTCTGCGATCCAGCAACAATCACACTCCAATGAGCATGCAGAGGGAATGATGAAGAAAATGCAAGCATCTCATGATTCTCAAAAAGCCTGCATTCGCTAGCCGCCCAAAGCAGCCCGACGTGGCGAATTCCGGCGCTGGGGATCAACTCCAATGGAAGGAGAAGCGCTTCCACAACACTATAATGTGTAATGATAGAAAGTACGGCAGTACGATTCATCATCATCATCAAGCCTAGATGGTCTTCAGCGAACCATCAGAACGGTCTTCAGAACCGCATGTTTGAACCATGTATTACCAAAAATGGACGGGGGTCATGCAGGGCCGAACCTTGTCTATAATATCACCCAAGAAGGGGATCTATAGATTCTATACCAGAGCTGCACGCATGAAACTTACCTGGGCTGATTGACCGATAGTATGGATTGTTCAGCGGTGCCTGCTTTTCTGGGCTGTTCTCACCAACTGTGCAATCCTTCATCACAACTTGATCATGGGAATGAAATGAGCGGTTTCCGTCATGGATGGAATTTATACCAGGGATCCTCACGAAACCTCTGATTGTTAGAATTAGAGATAGATGACCAACAAAGGTATGCCTACTTCTTGTACACCCAAATATCATCATCACTGCTCCAATATTGACGAGTCCCTTGCATTACCTCGTGTTACACTCTTTTTCCCAACACAACGCAGAGCCCGACAACAAGAAAGAAAAAAGAGGAAGAAGAAGAAAACAAGGAACAGGAGCACAAGAAACAAGAACCTAAAAAGAAAGAGCGAGGAAAAGAAAAAGAAAAAGAAAACGACAACGAAAAATGACAATCCTCCTAACAGGTTCCCACGGAAAAACCACCCTCCCCCTCTCAACCCTCCTATCCAAAAACAACCACCCACACCTCCTCTGTTCCCGCCACTCCCCCCCCTCCTCCTCCTCCTCCTCCTCATCCAGCACAGTCCACACAGTCCATTTCAACTGGCTCCACCCATCAACCTACATCAATCCCTTCACCCACCCTCTATCTCTCAAAAACCCCATCAAAGAAATCTACATCACAGCCCACGAAACTCCCGAAATCAGCGACTTGGTGATGAAATTTCTGAAAATTGCGAGGGAGAAGGGGGGAGTTAGGAGGGTGGTGGTTGTTAGTGCTTGGGAAATTGAGTCGGATGATAGGGGGGTTTTGATGGGGAGGGCTTGTGCGTTTTTGAGGAGGTGGGCTGAGGAGTGGGGGGTTGAGTGGGTGGTTTTGAGGCCGCATTATTTTATGGGTATGTATGTTTATATAATTATTCATTCATCAGAGAGGAAGAGAGGGAGAGGGAGAGAAAGAGAAAAGGAGAGAAAGGGAGAAAGAACGCAAGCCTCGTATATAGAAGTGAAAGATTGAAAAGGAAAAAGGAAAAAGAAGAAGCTAATAATGGAGAATAGATAACTTCCTAACCTACTACCACCCCTCGATCCGCTCGAAACACACCCTTCCCTCGGCTTCCGGAGGAGCACAAGGAAAGAAACCCTTCATCGATGCTCGAGATATCGCTCTCGTGGCCTATCACGCTTTAGTCGATAATAATGAGGAAAAGAAGAAGAAAATGGAGAGGAATCGGGAATATATCCTTACGGGTCCTTGCGCTTACTCGGATGTCGAAGTGAGTGTACCACCACCTCAATCCATCCCACCCCATCCAATCTCCAAACTGACCAAAAAAAAGGTAGCAACCCTCCTCTCAAAAACCCTCTCCCAGAAAGTAACCTGCCCGACCCTCCCGGAATCATCTTTCCGCCAATACCTCCTCGATCAAGAAATCTCCCCATACATGGCCAACTACCTCGCCTCTTTAGAAATGCGAATTTCTCGCGGGGAGATATGCAACAGTGAACAAGTGACGGATTGCGTGCGGGAGATTACGGGGAAAGATGCGAGGAGGTTGGAGGATTTTATTGAGGAGCATCGGGGGAGGTGGTTGTGAGGGGTGTGGAGAGGTTAAGGGGATGGATGGATGGATGATGAGAGATGTACTTTTGTATTCGTTCGATGGGATGGTACCAACCGAGGGTACGATAAGAAATATTATCATTTTTGGTCATGGCTTTGCTTTGGCGGTGAATTGCGTGTCTTTTGGGAGTTGGGGTGCTTTCTGATCGGTCTGATCGGGAGCGGCGGACGACCGGATCCCTGTTTGCATGATGCTTGATGCTTCTGAGCGAAGTCTGCGTATGTCGCTTCTTTATCTCTCCATGTCTGCATGGGATTGGATATATCCACCGTCGTCAAGCTGCCAGCACCGACCATGTGACTTCATCTCCGCATCTGTTCATCCGCCGAGACGTTCATCTATCCATCTCACCGAGATATTCCGTCGCTGTATGAACAGCTTCCGGGCAATCCAGCTCTCCTGCTATACCGCATCGACATGCCCGCATTCCACCGGCTCATCATTCATCCCCCCAAGCCACTCCCAAACGCGCGATCCATGGCATCACCCAAATCCTCTCCCTCTCCCTTCTCCTTCTCCTCCCTCACCGGCTCATCCATCAAATTGCCCTCGCCTTCCGTATGAGTATGTACATCCCTCCTCTCCGGCTCCAACACTCTCACCTCACTATCCAACCAACCCGGCGCCCTCCTCCTCTTCTCCGCCAATTCCCTCTCCCGGATACCCCTCTCCCACTCCTCCACCACTCTCATTCCCTCCTCTATCTGCCGGCTCAACTGTTCCACCAGTGCGCGACTCTGGTGGAGAAGAGTGTGTGGATGGGCGGAAAAGTCTCCTGTGGGGGATGTAATGTATGCCGGGAGGTTGGGGTGTGTGGCAGTTGGTGGGGATTGGAGAGCTGAGGAGGGGAGGGTGGAGGGGAGGGATTGGTAGGTGTGTGGCAGGGTTGGTGGGGTGGGGAGGTCGAGGAAGGGGTTGACTGTCAGGGGGGTTTGTTGGAGGAGGGGATGGCTGCCTGTGAAGATTGAGTGGGTTAGTGGGTGAGTGAGTGATGATGGGGATGTTCCCGGGAGACTTGCGGTTATCCATGGTGATGTCGATGTGTTGATGCGTTGATGTTGATGTCCGCTGTTGCTGTTGCTGTGATTGATGGATGGATGAATGGCGGGGTGCCTTGCACCGCCACACTTGTGTCAATCCATCGATCAATCCATGCCTCACAGGGTCAGCAATAAAATCAACAGGATGATCAACACAACAATCAAGACACCAATACAACATCCACTCCACCGATCCTCATTCCTCTCCACCACCATCCGCATCTTCTTCATCCCGGCCCCCAACTTCCCACCCACACGATCGGTGATGTTCTCCGTCTCCTCTAACAATTCCGCCTGTTCCTCCAGTTCCCGGCCCATGGAATCGGCCTGTGCTCGTAGATTGCCGACGGTGTGAAAGACTCCCTCCAAAGCCTCGTCCTGCTCGTGCATCATTTCCATCTGTCGCTGTTCCTCCCACGCCCCGTAATCCGCATCATCATCATCATCATCACCATCATCGAATTCCTCGGGATGCACCAATCCACTGGGATTGATGGATGATGAATGCACATTATCCTCCAATTGCGCCTGCATTTCCTGCACTTCCCTCCCCACCTCCTCGACCAATTGTCGGCGCCGCGAGACTTCGGCCACATCTAAACCATATCGGTAGGCATCCCCTTCCACCGCCCGCACGGAATCGTGTAGGTCTTGCAGGTCGGTGGTGAGGTCGGTGAGGTTCTGAGCGAGTTCGGAGCGCGCCTCGACCACTTCCGGCGAGCTGGTCGAGGATGCCGAGGAGCGGATGCGGAGGTAGGAGGTGAGCAGAGGTCGGGTTTGATGGAGGAGGGAGAGCACATCGCTTTGGGCCGCCGTGAAGGGATCCGGCGAGGTCATGATGTTGGTGGGGATGAGATGACTATCATGGGAAGGGTGGTGGTGGTGGTTGTTGTTATTCTTGTTGTTATGGTCGTCGTTGGATGGGCACCTCAGCTTGCAGGCAGGGGTTCGGAGATGTGGCGGTGCATTCATGCTTCTAGTGAAATCTGGGGAATCTTTCCAACATCTATCTTCACATGCTTCAATTTCTGGCATTGGGGGAAAATCCATCCCAAAACTTCATATCAACTTCATAATCCACGAACATGAAACGATAGCGGCAACAAGAAATATTCCAGACGTTCTTCAAAAAATGTCTACCGAAATGGGCCCGGACAAGCCACTCCCATATAGCGACCACTTTTCCTCTCCCGAAGAATATGTCGAATCCCTCTTGAATTTCCTCGGAAGCAACTCCCTGCTAGGAACACTCTGCGGCGGAGTACATATTCTCGACTTCTTCACCACCGATCCTCCCCTCTATCCCCGCCTTCTGCCCCAAGAATGGCGACAATGGTTCGATGCCACCGATATCATGGATATTCTCGACCTCCTCATGCGTGAGGATATGGAAAGCATCCCTCAGGAAGGACAGTGGAGAAATGGGCCAATCCCACCCAACTCTCTCCTCCAATACATCACTTCAGTCCGCCTCCATCTCCTTAACCGCTCGCCCTCCTCCTCCCGCTGCTCCCTCAACCGCTCTCTCAAATCCCGTCCTTTGGCCCGGCACGTCGCGGTGGGAATGTCGCTCAAAAAAGTACACGAAGTCGGCCTCTTTGCTCACTACCTCGACAATCTTTGCCAAACTTACCAAACTTCTACCTCCCAACAAATCTCTCATCTCGTCGATTTCGGTTCGGGCCAGAATTATCTGGGACGTGCCTTGGCTTCCCAACCGTTCAACAAGAACATCGTGGCCATTGAGTCGAAATCCGAGAATGCCGAGCGGGCGAGGGAATTCGATGTCATGGCCAAATTGGCCGTCAAGGAGAAGATATTACGCAATAAAAAGGTGTGGAGGGAGACGGGCGAGCATGTTCCTCCTACGCCACCGCCCGAAATAACCCCTTCAGCATCACCACCACCGACGGTGGAAGTCCCCCCTCCAGAAGGAGGAACGGGAACAATCCTCTACATCAACCATCGCCTCGCAGACGGCAATCTCTCCGACGTCATCTCCCAAATCCCTCCCCCTTCCTCCACAGACCCTCAAGACCAGAACCTCCTGGTAACATCCCTCCACTCCTGCGGTAACCTCCTCCACCACGGCCTCCGCTCCCTAACCCTCAACCCCACCGTCCAAATCGTAGCAATGGTAGGCTGCTGCTACAACCTCCTAACCGAACGTCTCGGTCCCGCAACCTACAAACTCCCCTCCCTCCGCCCAGCCGCCCACCCCCGCCTCTCAACCCTCGCAGAAGCCCGCGATCCAAATGGTTTCCCCATGTCCGAACGTTTCTGCACCGCCTACCCATCTCCATCCTCTTCAAACCCCCACGCCTCCTCCAATCCAACAGAAGCAGAGGGCGTCAAATTAAACATCACCTCCCGCATGATGGCCGTCCAAGCCCCCGGAAACTGGGGTCCCCACGACTCGGAATCCTTCTTCACCCGCCACTTCTACCGCGCCTTATTACAACGCATCTTCCTCGACTACGGAATCATTACTCCTCCCCGCGGCATCGTAGAAGAAGGAGCCAGTCCCGCCGGGCATTCCTCGGGCGGAACACCCATCATCATCGGCTCGCTGCGTAAAAGCTGCTATGTGAATTTCCCCGCTTATGTGCGTGGGGCGCTGGCGAAACTGATGCTGGAGAAGGAGGGGGAAAAGGGGAATGTCTTTCGAGAGAAATTGGCAGGGATTGAGGATGAGGAGATTTTGAGATATGAAAGGATTTATGAAGGGGGCAAGAAGGATTTGAGTGTTATTTGGGCTTTGATGGCTTTTTCTGCCGGTGTGGTTGAGGCGGCGATTGTGGTGGATCGGTGGTGTTGGTTGATGGAGCAGGAGGAGGTGGGGGAGGCTTGGGTGGAGAGTGTGTTTGAGTATGGGGTTAGTCCGAGGAATTTGGTCGTTGTTGGGGTTAAGAAGTGAGGAAGGGAGGAAGGGGATAGATTTTTTATAGATTGTAATGATTATGATGATGATGATTACGGTTACGATGATGAGTAGTAGATCGAAAGTAAGAGGAGAAGAGAGGAGAGAAAAGCAGGTAAGGAGATCTAATATAAAATTCCTAGGAAGCTTTAGATAGAGAAGAGAGTATAAGAGAGGAAGAAGTAGACATCTCTTTTAAATCCCCCCTTTCAGAGCAGCCTCCCAGCCGAAAATCCTTATGCGAAGAACCTAGGCATAAGTAATAGAATTCTTTCTTACAAGTACTAACTACCAGATCGAAGACCTAATTAAAAGACGACTGTGCTATTGCACACTAGGCCTACGTTCTTCCTCTTGGGACTTATACTCTAGTATATCCTTCGTAAATGAGAATCGCTTGGACTCGGAAATGCATGATCTTGACATTGTAGCGGGTTTTAGAATCCTGGCCGGCCGTTGCGATCCTTGCGTGGGAAGATAGATTWTCAGGGGATATTGTGTGATTCGCGATGTGATCAACTTCTTTCTTTTTTGGATGGAATGAGTGTTGGGATGGTTTTTTACTGTTTTTTGTGATGTTTGGATGGGGGAATGAGGCCTGCAATACAATKGAAGAGAGGTGAGTTGGAGGTGATTGGGCAAGGTCTTGAAGTATGAGACTCTTACTCTTGCAGAAGGAGAAAGAGGTCCATGCGTCCAAGTCCGTCTTCCCAAGTATCGGCATTGGATATCAAATCAAACAACATCTTCAATTGAAGCATTTCCACCAGGAAGTCAAATTCATCATGCAACAGTAAAGGAAAAACGGTAGGATCGTGGTATTCCCAGCCCAACGATCTCATCTCATAAAAGGAAAACCAGCACATCTCAATGAAAGTTTTCGCCCTCCAATTCCTCCCTTCAACGGGCACACCCAAACTCCAGCCTTCGTATCGGCATTCCAATCCAATCAAATCCCTGGGGTATCGCAACACACACACAAACTTCCCTCCAATCATCTCCAGCACATGGGGGTTTTTTTTTTCTACTTTGCAGGAGCAGCGTCCTCGGAATCCTCCAGACCATTCCCGCTGTTGCCACTCATGGTTCTCGAGAAGAGGGATCGTGCGGTGGGGTTCTTGTTGTTGGTCCTATCGTCATCATTCATATCAGCCTAAACTACTCTCGCCATCTTCATCGTGCTTGCATTGTTTACTCACTGCTTGTTGATCTGCCTCTGCTTGAACCCCGCGAGCTTGGAGCTAGCCGGGCTGAGAATGGCATCGGAAGGAGAGATATATGTCCCCGAGGAGTTGTTGTGTTCAGCAATCTTCTTGTCCAACGCCTGTTTCTGCTCRTCGGTGTTGTGGGTCGTCTTGTTTTCCTCGCCGGGCTGCATCGTGGTGGAGGGGTTGTTGTTGTTGTCAGTGACAATGGGCTGCTGGTTGCTATCCTTCTCGGCAAGCGCGGAGGCGATGGAGTGCGACATGTTATTTTAAGAGCTGCGCGCGCGTGTGTGTGTAGTGTTGTTATGTTTTGCTTGTCTGATGTTTTGTTGATCCTCGCCAGCCAGTGGTTGATTTTCTTCAATTCCGATGCGGTCACGTCAACAACAAAGTGCCGAATCGAGCATTAGCGCTGATGACTCCACCTCTTCGTACGGCCGGGCCCGTGAATACGAGAATCTCTTGGCTCACACCTCGAAATCAGCCGACCGACGTCTTTCTCGATTCCGCCCGTGATTTATTGACAAACCCACAAGACATCCCACGACAACCGTCCAAGATGCCTGTACGTATCCTCCGCAGCCTCCATCACGAGAATATGGAGATGATATTTGGATGACTGACATTTCTCGCGCGCCCACCAGTCCCACAAGTCGTTCCGCACCAAGCAGAAGCTTGCAAAGGCCCAGAAGCAGAACAGACCCATCCCACAGTGGATTCGCCTGAGAACCAACAACACCATCCGGTACGATGCGCCCGAGGAGGGAAGATGGCGGTGGCAGTCATACTAATTGGATGCCGCAGATACAACGCCAAGAGGAGACATTGGCGCAAGACCCGTATCGGCATCTAAACGACTCGCCCACCCACCAAACGACAATCACGAGCTTTTTACTCAGCGAGCGTGCGACGAACGATCCCGACGGAATGCTGCTGTGATTCGACTTTTTCACGGCGATTTGGCGAGGAGGATTGCGGGCAGGATGTTGATGATGATGGGTGGAGAGATTTCCCTCTTTTCGTACTCATCATCATATGGACGGCGGCGTTGAAAAAGAAAACAGGGCGCGTGCCATGGGATGCGTGCGATACGAATGCATACTCTACAAACGTTCTGCTGAGGAGATAGCGGGCAAGCAAATGAGAAACTGAAACGCCACCTCTGTCCTCTTCTTCCGTTCGTGTGATTTTGCCGGAGAATGCCATGATGTATCCCACGCTCTTGTAGGTGATGTGGATCTAACGTGGCTTGAGAAGGCGCGGAGTGCCGAACTACGGCGGAAGGAACGACAGGTAGTGGCAACCTGGAGGGCATACACGCCACATGATGATTCCCATTCATACCGTCACCTCAGTCTCTGTGCCAAGTCTATCCAAATGCATGGACTAATGGCCCCCGCACGCTCACTCCACCGCGAAAAGCAGCCTCACTTCCAATCAATACTCTTTCCTGCTTCAGGCCCATACATTACTCCGAAATCATGATGCATCAATACGCTGTTCAATATCTCCATGTATCATCAAGTCATCAACACAATCCTTCACATCACTCAGTATCCCTCGTCACTCTCATCCCAACGCCTACCCAGCCTTCTGCTGCAACAAAAACCCCGCCCCACTCCCCGTATCAATGACTAGAACAGCCTCCTCCCCCTTCCCGAGTAGGCCGACTTCCCCTTTATTAGGCCCAACAAAATGTTCCCATAACTTGACACTCCCACCCTGAAACTTCATCACGCAACTACTCCCCGCATAAGCCACGCGATTCCCAAGCTCAATACTAGAACCATGCTCCAGCACCCTTTCCCCCTCAATCACCCCCTCACTCCCACACCGATTCGCAAAAACCACCACAATCGGCTCCTGTGATCTCGCTTCTTGAAAAGGCCAGAATCTCTCCAACCAATACGCCACAGTCTCCATATCCGGCAAACTCGCATGAGCTTCCGTATCTTCAGGTGTGAGACGTGTAAGCCAAGCCATGGAAAGCACAATCAGCTTACACCCATTCCTCAACATCGTATTCGCAAATTCGTAATCCGTCCAGGGAGCTTCGAATCGATGAGGATTGATATCCATACAAATCCCATGTCCCACCAACCCTAATCGCCCCAGCTGGCCAGCGAAAAAGGGACTTTGATTAGGTGAAGATTTGAAACCTTCTGTGGCCCATGTCTCATCTGTATAATACAGAAAACTCTTCCTGTAATTCGCCAGAATCTCGCCTTGGGGTCCTACAGTTACGGTACTGTTGTAATTCGTCGTGCTGCCGTCGGGGTTTGTGCAGATTTCCGGGTAGCCGACTATGACTGTGCAATTCCGAGTTTGGGCTACGCGGGATGCCCATTGTGTGGTGGGACCAGAGGTGGTGGGCTCTAGGAATGGGGTGATGGCTGAGAGAGATGGGAAGTTGTAGCCTGAGAATGCGAGTTCGGGTAAGACGAGGAGGTCAAGGTTGGATTGATTTGTTGAGAGGAGGGAGTCTGCTCGGGCGATGTTTTGAGATTGTTCGCCTAGGCGGGGATTGAATTGGAGGACGGCGATTTTCATGGCGAATGAGTGGTCTTGTCTCTTGTAGTTGGGATTGGGATTGGAGACAAGTTGTCTCGATGGGCGTTGTTTTCAGTTTTGCATCGTGATTGCAGTTTCGATAAGTAGATCCGTTTGTCGTTGATTTTAATGGCCTTGATTGATCAAATGCATAATCCTATTCGAGCACGAAGAATTCTTTCTTGTTCCTGAACATGCTATCTTGTGGTAGTCAGTGCGTTGTTGTCAAGTCTGGGATTGGAAGGAGGTTTGATACCGAGCAATTTGGCAAAAAAAGTCCCACCGGTTTCTGGACCGTAGCAAGATCGCAGACCACAATCTCATTGGCTCGGACTAGGCCGGCGCTAGTTAAAGTACAGCGAAAGCGCATTTCCTCTCCGCGCTCCAAACAGAGCTCAACTTTCGAGAGTCAAGACTCAAAAAGGGCGGAAAACGGGGCGGATCACCTTTTCACTTTTGCGTGGAGATACTGACAGGACCTCAAGCTGGAATCTCATTCGCTCGGTTAGCGCCGGCGCTAGCTAAAGTACAGATACTGGTTAGGTCTTCTCGTCCTATCAAAACAATTTCAACTTTGGAGAGAGCAAAAAGGGCGTTTCTTGGATTTTCGCCTTCTCCCTTTGCGTGATCACGAATCCACCCACCTTTTCTCCAAGGCAGAGATTAGAACAGGATGCTCGACGCATATGTTGCGACTGAATTGGATTACCTCTCGACATCGGTTTTCAAGTTCTATCGACAGGCTCACGCTCTCCCAGTCTCCTCTTAACCTGCACCAAAACTAGATCGTACATCTTGACGACGGTGACTTTGATGATGTGTAGAGAAGGCGGCGCTTTCATCTATAAACTCATCCTATTTAGCCAGCGTCTCTCCTTCAATGCAATGTTTTCATACATCATAGCTGAACATGATGACCCACGAAGCCGTAGCTTCAATGCAACACTCGCATCCTAACCCTGAACATGAATCGCCGCTCAAATGCAAAACGACATACTACCCGCTCTTTTAAACCGAAGAATTCAATCCTTCCGCGCTAACCACCTGCTGCAACGGATGCTGGACATGTCCAGAGGTTCCATTCGTTGAGGTTCCATGTGCCTGCTCAACCTTGATCTCAGTCGAGCCGTTGCTGGTTGAGGGAGCAACGTCGTTCGGAGCAGGCGATGCAGATGCTTCGATCTTGGTGGTTAAACTCGGCTGGCTCGGAGCATGAGTTGGCGGCAGTGTTTCCGCTGAAGGCTGGTGAACGCCGTTGGTGCTTGAACGACCAGGAGTCGGAGGACTAGTCGGAGGTGTTTCCTTATTAGACGCCAGAGACTTGTTCTTCAGCTTCAAAGTCACAATCAGACTGTGTGAGCCGGCGTCGTCGTCATCTTCAACATCCCCCTCTTCATCTTCTCCTTCATCGCTCGCATCTTGAGCATCGCTCATCTCTGCAGCGTCTTGCATGGGTTCATCCTCTTCGTTCTTTTCGGAATCCCAGCCATCGCCACTAACACCGTCTTCTTCACTCATCTCATCAATAGAGTTGTAACCATCGATGTGCTTCCGCTTCTTCAAGTTGCTGTCGTTCATGGGCGGTCGGGCACCTCGATTCCGGGTTGCTCTGCCTCCACGAACAGGGTCCGTCTCATCGCTTCCCTCACGCCCCGCTCGAGAGCTGTTGTCGAAGTCGGTACCAAGCTCGTCTGCGTTCATGACGTTGCCGCTGAGGAGGCTTTCCCCATATTCGCCAGTACGCGGCTGCTTGATCTGCCTGCCACTGGCAGTATATGTGGGCCCTGCTTCAAAAGGAGTGCTGCGAGCAGATTGGTGTCTGGTGGATCGGCGGGTCGACGCATCATCAGAATCGCCCTCGTCACCCTCCTCGTACGTATACCGCATACGTTTCCCGCGAGTCCGGCCTTCATATATCCCAAATCCAGGCTCAGGTCTTGTAAAGGCCGCGCGACGCTCTTGACGGTACTCGCGGCGGCGACGCTTCTCTTCTGTGGCTTCAAACATGGGTATAGCGTTGTTGATCTTTTGGCCCAGTCTCCTCGCAGCTTGCGTACCATCCATCTTTTCTAGTTTCTCCGACAACGCCTGAACCTCCTCGATGTTTCCAGCAACACTGTACCAGTGAGCGTTCTTGGTATGTCGACTACCTTCTCGGTACACCCTGAAGCTTGTATCATCGAGTCCTTGAATGAGGAAGTACCGTCGCTTGTCACCATCCTGTCCCCATGGCTGGACCGACAGAGGCTGGTTCTCGTCGTCGTTGTGGCGTTGCTGCTTGTACTTGTTCTTGATCATCTCCGAGACAACTTCCGAGGAGGATAGAGCCCAGATGACGAGCGTTCGGAGGAGGTTCAACTAGCACAGTTAGAGTTAGCATGGTGACACTCGAGGTTGAATGAAAAGACATACCCTCTCTGTCGGACTCATGTTGGAGAAGTCCTTGCCTCCATGAAGTGGGTTCTTAAACTCCCATTTGAGCGGCCATTGAGACTTGTGCGTAGACACGGCTTCCTCGAGAGCGCGTCCATGGTGTCCTCGTCTGTTYGCACATGTCAGCAACGTTGTTCATCATGTCCCCCCACGCATCTCTTTCACCACCACCACAGGGATAACGTACTCGACCGGCTTCTTCCTGTTCAATACCAACGCAAGCAGCGCGCATAGCAGATTCTCAATCTCTTTCCCCGGTACAACATCCACCACACCCCTCTCAATATCCTGCGGTCCGAAATGCGCCAGTTTATTAGAGAATGCCTCCTGAAATCGCGATCTGAACATGACAATGAACTATTCGGCCCAAAAGTTAGCCCGACGTGTTACTCGCCCAATCCACGCGTAAAGAGCGCGCTTTTACGTGTTTGAAGGGAGGGAAACTGACGGCAATGTCTGGATTATCTGCCAACACCTCTTCATGAGGTGGTGAAGGTGCTCGTTTAGGCCGGGGAGGAGAGACCACAGGCGGAGGAGCGGCAAGTTTGGTGGCCTTTTTTGCCTTCATGAATATTGGCGCGAGCTTTTTGACCTCTTCCTCGGGCGCTTCGGAGAGGGAACTGTCCGAGTCGATATCCATGGCGGCCATGGTTGATGAGTGGGAGTTTGGCGGTGGAAAGTGGGTGGAATGAGGAAGGGTGCGCTCAAAGTTCGAGACGGAGACGTCACATTGGATTCCCGCCAGCACATGAGAATGATTAAGTAATTGAAGGCTAGAGAGAATGAGGAGAGAGCGGCAGAGACTATTCACTTTTCACTTTCATTCGGATATCTATTTGAAGTGGTACAGAGTACATTCGAAGGTGATACCAATCGTGTCGAGGCGATCGAAGTAATCGTCGAGGATCATGCGCCGTTTGAGGCGTGCAGTCGCAAGGTTGCATTACTAACCTTGATATGTGGYCTGGCCTTTCAACGATGTCGATAGGAGCCTTCGCGGGTCTTTCTTGAAGTCCTGGCAGAATCTCTCAGTTCCAAGGTTGTCAAGTGTGTGGTGTGTATTGTGCAAAATGTGGTGAAATCTTCGTCGCCGAACAGCCACGAGAGTAAGGATGAAAGGTTGAGGTCGATGCAGTGTCGTGGTATCATACAGGCTACAGCCAGCTGGGCATATGAGGTGGTCGCCGAGGCTTCAAAGATGGCAATACTGTCCCAAGACTGTGTTTTCGAGCGTTATTGGGCGCAAAATGGTCGAGCAGCTCTCCACTTGTGGATCATGAGGCATGTATCTCGCCCTCTCGCTCGGCATATCTCTCTCCGCGTTGAATGTCCGCTGCTAGAGAACCGAAGGGCATCTTTGAGGGTAAGACCGTCACAGTATCGACACCGTAATTCGTCATGCCTGGTTTCCAGATCGACAAGCGTTCTGTGTGAGGTGCAGAGAGACAGGACGAACTTGTGGCAACTGCATCTTTCTGTATTTCGTCCCACGCATGCCTGACTCCAGGAAGAAAGATGGTGAAGATCAACGTCTGCTTGATCATATGGCGTGCACGTCTTGCATCCCCCACAGATTGACGACAATCTTCATCAACCGCAGAATCAATGGAGCAATCATCAGAATCCTCGCCCTGGAAAGAAAATCACTCACGTCGCTCGATCATGGCGCCGTCTCTCCAACTTGCCGAACGATTTGAACGCATCAGTTCAGCGTGAGTGATTGAGATCATGAGTGCTTCGCAGACCTAGCGTTTTAGGAATCAAGCTGGCATTCATAGGTGTGTCGTTGTGGTGATGAAGAATCAGATGAAGGGCAAATTGGGCGAGTTGCGTAGTAGCATGAGGGCGCGCTCGGACCAACAGAAAGCCAAGAAATCGATGAATTCGATATTCCTCGCACCTCGACCTGCACACTTCCGACTGAACTTCACCTCAGATAACATCCATCCGCCGTCAAGATGGGTCGTGTTATTCGCAACCAGAGGAAGGGTCGCGGCTCTATCTTCACCGCGAACACTCGTACGCAGCATCATCCGCACGATTGCAGCGTCCATCGCATACTAACATTCCTCACAAGGCCTCAACAAGGCTCCGGCCAAGTTCCGCACCTACGACTTCGCTGAGCGCCACGGATACATTCGTGGTGTGGTCAAGGAGATCATCCACGATGCCGGTCGCGGTGCACCTCTCGCCCGCGTCGTTTTCCGCGACCCATACCGATACAAGTTGAACACCGAGACTTTCATCGCCAACGAGGGCATGTACACCGGCCAGTTCATCTACGCCGGCAAGAACGCTTCGCTCACCATCGGCAACGTCCTCCCACTTGGCTCCGTCCCGGAAGGTACCGTTGTCAGCAACGTGGAGGAGAAGATTGGCGACAGAGGTGCGCTCGGCAGGACATCTGGAAACTATGTGACTGTCATCGGCCACAACCCAGATGAGGGCAAGACCCGCATCAAGCTCCCATCAGGCGCCAAGAAGGTTGTTAAGAGCTCCGTCCGTGGCATGATTGGAATTGTCGCTGGTGGTGGCCGAACCGACAAGCCTCTCATGAAGGCTTCGCGCGCCAAGCACAAGTTCGCTGTCAAGCGCAACTCGTGGCCCAAGACYCGTGGTGTTGCCATGAACCCCGTCGACCATGTAAGGCATCCGAGGAGAGTTGCGATGTGGACGGGCAAGACTAACGCATTTCGCAGCCTCACGGTGGTGGTAACCACCAGCATATCGGTAAGGCCTCGACCATCTCCCGTTACGCCGCACAAGGTCAAAAGGCCGGTCTCATTGCTGCGCGGAGAACGGGTCTCCTGCGTGGTACCCAGAAGACCAAGGACTAGATGCATCATTGAATACGKGGGTGTTTGTGGGGTCTCGAAGTGTTTGCACTGCGTTTTCAGCAGATGCCAGGGCTGCTTCATGGGTTGTAGCTTAGCTGGAATGGCAAAAAGCTACATGTTCAGAAATCGGTCAATGTGCAAGCCAAATGAGTTCACGTTTCACGCCAGATATCTTACTTTGCTGTGCAAGTCTCGTTCTTCATACCTCTCTCAGCAGTCCAAGTTGAGGTCTCTGAAGGGATCTAATCTCTCCCAACGACGCATTTCTAGATTGATCCATCCGCGCATGCTCGTTCTCGTGCTCCAAAATTACATTTTACTACCTAGCACCTTAGTCTGGGCCCTGCGCGGCGAATGCGGGGTCTCAGACACGCGACTCCACCAGTTTTATCTTGAAACGAGCGGGCATAAGTAGGATACAATCGTAATCTACCTAGCATCTGCTTTTTGCTGGGAGTCGCTTCCTTGAAAGATTGCGTCGTTGGTGAAATTCAGAGCCTTTTAATTCCGTCCACTCTTTGGTCCTGTTATCATCTTTGAACTGCTGACGCGGCCACTGTCATTCTCCCTTTTGCCAAAACGACCTTGTTGTCTAGCATTCCAGCAAGCGTCACACGGATACTTGCGGACTTCAAGGTGGCGTGCAGCAGGTGCTACTAATCGATCGTAACGTTACTCCAGGTCAGCAAGCAAACTGCCAGCAATCAAACCCGTGTCATCCCGCCGACCTAGGTATTCCATCACCACCCCTGTCGCTGTTGCTGCTGCTCGGTCGTCATAGCAGCATCAGCATCTTCCTCATCAACTCTGCTGTGAAGGTCGAGCTCCGAGGGAAACRTTGAACAGGTCCGACGCGCACATCAGCCAGGATGAACGTCAACAAGAAGCTCGGCCGCTTCAAGCAATGGGGCAAAGAACGCATGGGAGGCGAGGTCAAGACGGACACCACGGAAGACTTCAAGTCGTTGGAGGTGGAGATGCAGCTGCGTTGCAATGGTAGGTGGCCAGGCTCTGTGTAGGCACGCCTACCACATACTGATCAGTCTCAGGCATGGAGAAGATGAAAAAGTCCACCGACACCTACATCGTATCGCTGTCGAAGAGGGAAAAGTACCAAGACAAGGAGCCGCAGCTACCCGTGGGCTATTTTGGTGCCACCATGGTCAATCATGGCGATGATTTCGAGGCGGACTCGGAGTTTGGGCAATGCCTTTCCATGCTCGGCCGGGCCAACGAACGTATCGCCCGCATGCAAGAGACCTACTGTGCCWATGCCACGAGCAGCTGGCTGGAATCGCTGGAGAGATCGCTGGTGCAGATGAAGGAGTACCAGCGAGCTCGCAAACAGTTGGATTCCCGGAGACTGGCTTATGACACAGCTTCAACCAAGATGCAGAAGAGTAAGAAGGAAGATTTCCGCGCCGAGGAAGAGTTACGCTCGCAGAAGATGAAGTACGAGGAAAGCAGTGAGGATGTATATCGCCGCATGCTGGACATCAAAGAGGCAGAGGTGGAGTCTGTCCAGGACTTGACAAGCTTCCTCGAAGCAGAGTTGACATACTACGATCGATGCCGGGATGTGTTGATGCAGTTGAAGCGGGACTGGCCGGCGTGAGTACAGCCTCTAAACATGCAGACTGACTCGATACTAACCTAATACTAAAATTAGCGCCAACGGCCCTCTTCGATCCGACGCTTCAAGTCCAGTTAACGGTGGACCCATACGCCGGACAGTCACTCAGTCTCGTTCACGCGCCGGCTCAGTGAACGATCGCTTCGCCCGTATTGCTGAAGACGAGGGTCTAGAACCACCTCCAAGACCCATCATAAGCTCGCGCACGACCTCGGGAGCCAACTCTCCTGCGAGAGAACTGCCCGGTTTTGATCTTCCCACTCGTCAACCTAACTATCGCAGCGCTTCCACTCCTGGCTTTGAAGGACCCATGTCGGTGGGAGGCATTAATCGCGAGAAATCTCCCGCGGGCATGCCTCGTCTGACCCGTGTCCCTACGGAACCCTCTGCTCTGATGGGCGCTCGATCGAACCTACGAATTACAAAGTCGCGTGATGGCCCGCCTCAAGCCACCGCCGGGCAAGATGTCTTCGGCGACGACCAGAGCGAGTACTCCCAGCCCCCATCCAGCTTCGGTGATCATAGGAACCCGAGCTGGTCCACAACAGGTCAGGACGGTGGCAGTACGACCAAAAAGGCTCCACCGCCACCACCTCCGAGCAGATCGAAGAAGCCACCACCACCTCCCCCGTTGAAACGGAGCGCCTTGAGCACAAGCGAAGTGCCAACAAGGTACTAGATTGTCAAGGACAAGAGCGTCACGCACGAGAGGCCGGGTAAGCATTCGATGCCAAGGTTTCATGGCGAGGGTAATGATTGAWTGTTCGTCACTGCAAGGTACTATGGAGTTTGATACGGTGACAGCACTGTGATTTGCACTCTCCTATGGCAAGTCGCCTGGTTTGAGAAATGACACTGTGTGGAAAGGCACAGCAGGGAGCCGTTATATGACGAGCCATGTTTCGCGTCCTACTTTTCCCACTCTGCTGAACGCCTGACGGAAAGCCAGAAAGTCGGGAGCGATTCAGAAAGGGTTCATGCGGAGAAGGCGAGCAGAAATACAATGCTATTGTCGTGGGAGTTGATCTCAGCAAATGCTCTTCCTAGTAAGTCCGTCCTGGCTGGGTCGTCTTTTTGTATTCCTTGTGCCAATTCATCGCTTTGGCCTGCCCCTCAACGAATCCCACAGCAGCCCAAACGGTGCTTGTTCTCGATGTTCACGGCTGCACAGCTTGCACCTCATCTCGAGTAAATTGCCGGCTGCTCATAAGGTCGTCCATACTTCGACTTCGCTGGTGTGTACTTKGCCACAAGGTCTTCCATCTGGCTTTCCTGTTTCATTCCGATGTCGTCCTCGACATACGTACTCGCGTTGAAGCCTCTTACAGCCCTCTGTAACCTCCCGGGTTGGAACACGGCAAAGAGAAACACCGTGGCGAAGATCGGCAGAGCATCAAACATGTATATGAAGACCTCCTTCGAGGTAACGGTTCCATCTGACCCCTGCGCGTGTTCGATCCCGCGGACGATGTTCCGTACCATGATACATCCGCTGGCCACCAGGAGCGTTCCGATGTAACGCTTCCAACGAAGTGTGTTTGATCCGCTCTGTGCTTTGCATCTTTGAAGAAATAAAACCGCCATCCATATGAACACGACGAAGACGAGGATCTGCAGGACCAAGCCGATAATCACTACCTTTCCACCGATGCGTTGGATATTCAGACTTGTTGTAACTCCCATTCCGATCCCAGAAATCTGTACCAGGAAGCACAACACATCGAAGATCACAAACAGCTTCGACATGAGCTTTGGTCGAATTGGCGAGAGCTCGTCTGCGTCCAGTATCTGTATGATGCGGCTGAGAGACATGTAGAGTGTTGCAGCAAGGAAGATCGGAGCGGGCAGGACCAAGAGATCGTAGAGGACGTAGGCTTTGAAATTGCCAGGCTCTTGCGATAACCAGAAGCGACCATAGTAGCCGAATGTCTCCACTGGTTACTGTCAGCTTGAGACCATCGAGGGTTCTTGGGTCTTACTTACTCATGCAGCCGATAAGGAATGGAATGAAGTACCAGCTCCGAAGCCAGACCATCTGTGCGAAGTGGATGATGGTGCCCACACCGAAGCATGCGATGAAAACAATTGCTGCAGCATGACTGGGCTGGTAGCTCATGCTCCATTGCTTGCCATCTTTGGAGGTTTGCATGGTAAGAACTTGAATGTGTGGCTAATTTAAATAGAGGGTTGTAAGAAGTGGAAGGTGGACGATGTTGCAACGCAAGATTTGAAAAGACGAGAAGCAGCTCTTAAACTTTGCATCCAAGGAGACTTTCCGTGTTGAGTACGACTATCGATAACAGTCGTCTGTAACAGCATACGCGGCACGCTATCGAGCTCGCAATGCAATGCCTCAACTCGTGGGTATGGTCATGTCATGGCGTGGTTGGCTTCGTGAGAACGCGAACACGAATACGAAGAATTTCGTAATCGTGATCGCTCAACTTTCGCTCAGTATGTTATCACTATACAACAACCCTTTCAACTCGAATACGGCAAATTCTTATGCGGCATGGAAGCTCAAGCACAACGAAAGAAAGTGCTCGCGAGGTCATCTCATCGGAAATCAAGGCAAGGTTGCCTCGAATGCAAGAGGAGGAGAGTTAAAGTAAGATGTTGCCCATTCAACTCCTTCCAATTCTCTTTCCTACGTTTATTGTTCGACATGCAGATACTGACTCTTCAATTACGACAGTGCGATGAGTCGAAGCCAGCGTGTGACAACTGCACGAGACGATCCTTGACATGTCACTATACCACCACGAGAAATCGTGCAACTTCGTTCTCGCCTCCGCATACCGAGGGAAGCATTCCCTCTCTAGAAGGTCCGGATCTTGGAGATCTCCAGCTCTGGCATCATTGGTTGACTGTAGTGTGCTACACGTTCTCCGACGATGCCAACTCGCTGATTATGTGGCAAGAGAACATTCCCAAGATCGCTCTTCAGAACCGCTTTGTCGCTCAACTACTCCTTGCTTTATCGGCTTTGCATCTTGCTCGTACAGACGAGCCCGGAAGAAGCTCCCATTTGGCAAAATCCACGGTACTGCAGACCAATGCAATGAGCGGCATGATGTCAGCACTTACAGACGAGCCATCATCGAGCCGTTCAAGCGCATTATACGTGGCGGCCATGCTGCTCTGCTTCTGCAGCTTGGGAAACCGTCCAAGTCCAGGCCAGTATCTGCTCTATTCAGATGAAGGAGTACCGCCTTGGATGGACTTACTGCAAGGTGTCAAGTCGATCCTGACACAACATAGACACATTATCACGGGCATTGGTGWGGAGGAAGCAGAGTCGGAACCCAGACAACCTATTGTACCGGACGAGGTCTTCCCTGGCTATTCCAAAGCAATGGACGAATTGACGCAACATATCTCTATACTTCGCGCGGAAGACGAGTCCTTTGACAAGTATACCCACGCATTGGAAATGCTTCAAAGCTCCTTCGAAACGGCGTTTGAGCTTCACGATGGACAGACCAAGATGCGGCCTCATCTTGTGCTCGCGTGGATGTACAGGATTAGCGAAGACTTTCAAGCCTCGCTACATGAACGGCGACCCATGGCATTGGTGATCATGGCGCACTACATGACAATCTTCGCGAGGCAAGAGAAGACTTGGTATGTCGAGGGTTGGACAAGACATATTATGAAGGCTATTGAGAAGGATCTCCATCCTGCGTATCAGCGCTGGCTGGAATGGCCGGCTTCACAGCTAGAAGGAGCTGCCTAACATCAGCCATACACCAACGTGCAAATTGCAACAGCAGAGACCCGGTTCTTCTAGGATTGCTTGCGAATGTCCCCAGGCCATCTGACTTGAAGGAATGACACCCACGCCGCATGCATAAGYTTTGACATCTGCAGAGCAGGACGTCACCTCTCAGGATCATAAGGTACATCGTCACAGGCACAGCCATACCCTGAGCACTACTCCATATCAGAGTCCATACGTCTCATGGTCCTCTCAACGATCAAGCGACGTCGGCATCAAAAGGTAAAAATTGCTCAAAATCAGCCTGCAACCTCTGGCGAGTCTTGAAACAGAACTCGAATCTCATCATGGATTTTTTGTATCGGCCTCGAGTCCTCCTGGTGGGTTTGTAGTCTTTAGATAAACTAGTTGTAGACTCCAATATCCTCGGCGTAGTGCGCTTTGACGTTGTCGACGAAGCTTATGGCTGTGTTGAATGAGACTGGTTCTCCCGACTCTCGTTCGACTCTAGGTTTCTCACTGGACATATCTCCATTTCGTGCCATGTTGTGCGTTGACAGGTGTCTCTCGATAAGAGGAACCAGGACGAGGAACCGTCTTGCGGATCGGCCCAAGCAGCGGCTATGGCAGGATTTATTCGGTAGCCTACGTGTAATGCGCCGAGATAATGATGTCAAGCTCTACTGCGGAAAACGTCATTCTCGTTAGAAAATGAGCTCCGAGAGGCCGCGTTAGTACATTCAGACAATGAGAGCATACGGAGAGAGTGCTTAATGATGCAAGTTTTCTTCATTTCATTCGTTCGCGAGATGATAGGTAAGGAGTAGCCATTCGACCGCAGACATCCGAAGACCCCGCGGACGCCGAAAGCTTCCAAACATCCTACGCACATGTAAATCGTGATCCTTCCACTACGCCTGAAACGCCTTGCAGAAATCTGCCGCTCCAATGCATCGAAGAGATTCTCGTGATATGAAGGCTCTCTCGCGCGGCTCTCGTGTATAGCAGGCGAGAGGCCTCTGGAGCAGTTTCCCCGTGCCTCACAGGTGGGAGACGTCTAGCGATCCTCGGCCCACTCGTTTTCGCGGCGAATCTGGTCTTCCTCCTCCGGCGTAAAGTCGTTCTGGATGTTGAAGGTCTTGCGGATCTCCTCGGGCGACTTGCCCTTGATCATGTTAGCGACCGTCTTGCAGCCGACGTCGAGGAGCGCCTTGATATCCATGTAGTTGGCAGCGAGGATGATTTCAAACAGCATCTCCTGGTCCACCTGCATGAACTTTTGGTCCCAGTCCTCGATGTCGGTGGTCTTCTTGCGCGAGTCGGCGTCATCGTCGGTGGTAGGCGCGGGGTCGCTCTTGTGGTGGGTGCACCACTCGAGGACCTTCTTGAGGACGGCTTCGGAGACCTGCGAATGATGTCAGTCACGTGGGAGAGAGGAAGGAAGGAAGGAAGTAAGCGGCGAGGTACTTACGTTCATGATTGGGATGGGCTCCTCGCCTGGCGCACCGAGGTCTTCGATCATATTCTTGATCAACATGCTGCGCTCGGCAATCTGGCGTTCTGAGGATATGTATTAGCATGTGCCCGCGCGCGGTATTGAAAGTGAGGCGCATACCGGTCTCGATCTCGATGTTATCGCTGGAGACAAGCTTGACGATCTGTTCACCTTCGGGGACAGACATGATGGCAGGTGGTATTGGTAATTGTCTGGTGGTTGTTGTTGATGGTATTGGTGAGTGGTAATGTGATGAAGCCGTCGGAGAAGATGCGGATGTGGATGTCGATGTCAAGGTAGAGGTCCAGTTGGCGGGGACATGGATTAAGTACTAGGCAAAGGCAGAAGCGGACCCTTGGGAGGCAGCAGAACTCTAAATCTGGGTCGGTCCTCACAAACCGAACAGCAAACCACTTTCCGTCAATGAACCCTAAGCTCTCATTCACTGTTTGCGATTGTCCTCAATAATGAAAAAAAAAGTCGCTTTCGGCACAGAGATGGTTTGTCGCATGCGAGATGTCAGAGACATGTGTTTGAAGCACAAAGAAATCCGCGAGGCGTGCCGGATCTGGCCTGATGCTCACACATTCTCTCAGACTCTAGTTTGCGGCATGCTTGCGGCACAGGCCCTGCAGGCAGGCGCTGACACAGGATAGGCAGATCATACAGGGCATCAGTCGATCTCCTCTGTGTGGCGCGAGATGCGAGGTTGGAATATCCTCAGGTCGTGTGGTATAAGGTAATCCATCATTCGAAAGTCGAGAGTCACTCTAGACACCGCGCGGTTATGAGACTGCATGGCCCGACTGACGAGCGTGGAGACTGCATTGCAAGATCTGGCGGGATTTCCGTTAAGGAAGTTGAATATATGGGTGATGTGATTGTACATGGTCTACGAGTACTAGGTAAGGTAACGGTACGGTGGACTTTTAGCGACTTCCCTGCAACAACGCGATCTAATATAGCTTAACGCCACTAAGTGGAGTAATTTCACACCTCGCTTATTAATTTAATTGCCCGTACAATTATATATAATAAACGTCGTTATTTGCTTATATGTGTGTAATATTACCGTCCCGTTATTACTTAGTTACCGGTCCTAATATATAACGGGTTTCGGTTACCTTATCTTACTTTAATACTGCTATTATGCATATGCTTCTGCTAGTAACTTATTATACGCGTAAGAGTAATATTTATATACTATAAGACTCTTCCCTCTACCCTTCTACCGTCTCCCCTAGTCCTCCTAATAACTACTATATTTAATACTCTAATTAGCACTCTTACTACCTATCCTCCCCTCTTTGCTCTATTCTACCTTTCCGTATAATAACCGAGAAGGAAGTTCGCCGCTTCGGTATAAGCGACGTCGACCTATAGGATATATACTACTCGTCGGACGATAATAGTAATCTATGCCTTATAGTTAACGACGATAATATAAGTAAAGATAATCGCCTTACCTAGACGAGACTAACTAGTATAATCTAGCTTAAGACTAGTGGCCTCTATATTACTAAGGAACAGGCGGAGATAATCGATACGGCGRGTAGCTACGCCCCGAAAATTAAGAAGACCTAGGACCCGGCGAAGTAGATAATACTTAGAGACCGTAAGAACACTATAGACTCGATAATCATCTAGAGCCGGTTAGTATAATTACTTCTAATTAAGATCCGAGCATCCTTACTAATAGATTCGTAGCGGTAATATTATTAACTAGGAATGCACCGCCTACTAAGGCTAGCCGATCCTAAATAAGAACGAGCGAAAAGAGGGCAGAGGCCTTTAGAAGGTACTCTTTCTCCGCTTTCCTCTTATATAAAGATATTTAAAGCTAATAATAGTAGGAATGTGTAAAATAGAAGTATATAATAGAGGGTGCCTATAGAAATTGCATCTAGAATAGTAAGAAGAACTTATGCTCCGTAAACACCTTAAACGACCGTATCCTTAAGCATAAATAGAGCGAGAATACTAGTAATAACCCTAATATAATAGGCAATGCGGTAGATCCTTAGTATAAGGGCATAAGATTCCCCTATAAGGTAAGTGCGAAGAAGGCGAGCCGTAGTAAGGGAAAAGGCAAATAGTAGAGGCTATCTCCTTCTCTAGGTAGTATAATAGTACTAAAGTAGTTTTAGAGGTAGGTATAGAGCTAGCTCTAGAGCTTATTATTTCTTTCTCTCTCCCCTTTTCCTTTTATAAGATATTCTATTTCCTTTATAGAACTAAATTAATAATCGGAGTATATACCCTTTCTCTAGTACTATTATACGGCTACTATTTATAGAGAGAAGGGTTTTATCTCGGTAGAATATAGGTGTCCCTTTTTCTATACTTTATATTTACTTTGCTTATTTTCGAAAATAAGACTATATCGCTATTCCGCCTCTCGTATTCCTCGAGTATGCTATTA